TGTTACATAATCAGATTATTTCAACTTACTTATCCTATGGAAATACAGCTATATAGGAGATATTTTAAAATTGATAGGCACTGCATGTTTCAACATTTTAGATTTGACCACAATTTGGCACTTGAAACTACGTTAACAGAGAAAAACTGTGTGGTTTGCGATGAAAGTGTTAAAAAGTCTAATATTGCATCATGATTACTGTTTTAAAGTATTTTCGTGTTTGATTTATATTGAATTGTATTTAGAAAACGGAGGAAACCGAATGACCCAGCGAAAAAACTCAAGAGATTGGACAGGCGACTCTACTCCTTGAAATTGAAACCATGCCACTTAACACAATGACAGACCCTGTGATTTCATGCGCATGCATTACCTACTAGACCATTTCCCCCAGCCCCACCCCATATCGAATAAAAGTATGACTTATTTCAAATATGATATTTACATATAAAGAAAGTAGAGAGACTTCAATCTTACTAGAAAAATACTAGATTACCTGAAATGAAATGGGGTTTAAAGACAACGTCCTACTGGTCAGCTCCGACTGGTCTAATGCATTGTGCTAAGTGAAAATGTTTGTCTGGGCAGCGACACTATGGCCGACTCTCATACCGAATTCAAACTGCCAAGAGAACTTTTATGTGTACGCCAATGTGTACATTGGATCTCAGGGGAAACCACTCTGCAAAATCAAGATGAGCTTTCTCGGTCAACCCCAAGAGATAACCTGTGGCCTCCATGCTAGTGTGCCAGCACCTAATTTACTCAGTCACCATGGCCGTCTTCTAATTACTGCTACAGTGAAACCATGTGACAAACAAGGATTATTAAGATAGACTTTTACGGCTTGGTAGTTCCTTGGGATTAAAACTTTTGATACATATAGATACATTAGTTTCAATTTCATATCACACAGTTTGTATATATGGTAAGGTAGCTTTAATCGTAAATTAAATATCATGTATTTATTTTTTCAGTTTCAATATTGGATGTATATGCAAATCACCCAGAAAAAGATCATGTAATAACAAAAGAAATTATAAAAGAAAAAAAGGAAGAAGAAATGGCTGGAAAAAATGATGATAGAGCAGCTTTTTCTTGGTGGGTAACTATTCAATTCTACTAGAAAAGATTGTTATGCTATTTTGAAATCTAAAATTCAGTTTAGTATAGTAAAACTGTACACGTCATGTATGAGCAGAGACAGAATCTTAGTTAATGTAGATATCACTGTCTCATCTGTGGCAAAGCAAACCAACACATGAAACAAAACAAATGTAATTAAAGTAACATTTTTTTAATTAATCAAAACTGTCTAGTCAATTTAAGCCAACTAATACATTGCCATTTTTTCTTCAGTTACCCACCTCGGAGGATCAAGTTGGAAAGGGCTATTGATATTGTGGAGACGTTTTCTCACAGATCTTGCTTATCAGACAAAGACTATGTAAGTACCATGCATATTTGCTTTTTAAATCAGGAACTGGTTCTATACACTTGGTGGGGGGGGGGGTTGGATGGACGTTAAACCCCATTTCTCTCTCTCTCTCCTAAATATTGAGATTTTTGTTTACTTTTAAACTGCATATATTCAAGGTATCAGGAGCTTTTTATGGCTCCCGTACAATTTTATAAACATGAAAGACTGTACCTTTTGAATATTAAGCCATCAAATTATTTTATAATTTTGAAAATGAAATGAAATGGGGTTTAACATCCTACTGTTTTGCTCATAAATTGGGCTAATGAAGACGGGCATACGCCATACAGTGTGCTATGAAGGGAATTTTGCCCGGGCAGCGGCGCTACAGCCTACTCTTATATCGAATTCCAATTGCCAAGGAATCTTTTATGTGAACGCCAATGTGTACACGGGACCTCGGTTTTTTGTCCCATCCGAACGACTAGACAGCTGTCCTTGTCAGGTCCTCCGTCCTGTATCACTGGCAAGGGGAAAACACGCAAAATGTAAGTAACATATATATTTGTATTTTTAATCAGGAAGTACTTCTATACACTTGCTTGGTAATCTAGTTATTCTTCTTGGGGCAATGCCTAGGACTCTGCTGTTTCAAGTACTTGGCATGCTTGATTTTTGCCAATCACATCCATTGATTTCCTTCAAGTTGCGATAGGCCCTACATGTATGTGTATTTTTACAGTAAATAGCAGTAAAATAATGATGGACAGTATTTTACTTTCAAATAGATTTCAGTAGATTTTAAAGGGTAATATCCAATTTGTTGTCAATGGAAATAAAATAAGAATGGGTCCAAAAATAATTAGACATTACGCAAAGTTGAAACCAAATAGAGACTCGGTCTCGATGTGGCAAAATAAATTGTTTATTTAAACGTTGTGAACCATAGAACGTATTCTTATCTCCTACTTTTTATTTTTTAGGCTGGAACACCATTGAAAGAGTATTTGCTGTATGATAACAACAAGAAAACCCAAGCATCAATTTATTTTATACTTCTGGGAAAGAATGCATTTGACCCAATTTTTAAATATTTATTTTTTGTTATTAATGTTAAATTTTCTTCCAAAACACAATTAGATTTTAATTCTCTTCAGAAATGTATGTATAATATAGCAAGTAAAGTGGCATATAAATCACTTAGAATTTGGTCAGAAATCATAAAGTATTTAATAGGCATTACTAGAAACCAAATGTAGATCAAATACACCCAGAATTACAAAAAACCTTGACCTACATAAAGGTGACTTTCCCTTGCTTATGAAATGAAATACGGTTTAGTATCCTACTTTTCTGTGTTCTTAGAGTGATTCTGCCCTACACCCTACTCTTATATCAAATATTTCAACTGTCAAGGGTTCTTTAACGGGAACCCGGGGGGGGGGGGGGGTGGGCAATGATTAACACGCACACATTTGATCAGGAAGTCTGTCATTGAGTCAAATAATTCAATTGTCAAGGCTTCTTCTAAGTGAACGCAGTGAGGATGGTTTCGATTCCGGGAATGGGGGAGGGGGTGGTGGATGGCCGAATGGTAAGCATGTGCGTGCGGTATCATACAGCCTGTCATTGAGTCAACTGGCGTGGTTTCGAATCCCCGGTTGTACGTGACAAGGAGTAGGGTCGCCTGTCCAATCTTGTGGGTTTTCTACGGGACCTACGGTTTCCTCCCACTTCCAAAGACCCCTATGCGCAACGAATTATTGAAATAAAATTAAACCATATGTTAATCCCGAAATGACCTAGTTTGTGTCAAGTGGACGTTAAACCCCATTTCTCTCTCTCTCTCTTTCGATTCCGGGCTTGTACCCAATTATCCCTTGCCATATCCAAGACCACTGACAAGTGGGAACTATGCCGGAAAATCCAGTTGAAATTTCTCGGCCAACACCTTATACTCACTGAACCACTGTGGCTTATGACTTGTGATTGTATATAAATTTTTTGTACATATGATATTTTTTTATTTCAATCCTGTAATCTTGATGCTTTGCTTCTTTTATTTACAAAATATTCATTTTGTTTGGGTTTTTTTAATGAGGAAAAGGTTTTACATCATTTTATTACTCCTGCAAAATAGTGCATTTTTCTTTTGTTAGTTTTCTGTGTATATTAGTTATTTCTATATGTCTCACAAATCACTTGTAGTGTGATTTTGTAGCACTTTTCAGTTTTTGAAATTGTTTCAATTTAGTGCATAATTAATCTTAGTGCTTGGTTTGGATGTTATTATATTTAGATATTATTTGAATTATATATTTTGGAGTATGGGGTAGGGATACTGTGTACATATCTTTATATTCTCAGTTCTTGTTTTGGGGTAAAGAACAATTTATATAGCTATTTTATATTTTGTGATAGGTAAAGTGTGTGGGGTTAAGAACAATTTAAATAGCTATGTTATATTTTGTGATGGGTAAAGTGGGGGGTGTGTGGGTGTGTGTGTGTGGAGGGGGGGGGGGTCATTATATATAACACAATATAATTAGTATTAGAATTCTCTGTTTTTCTGTTAACATTTCAAATATCTATTTAGTTTTGATGTATTAATTTACTTTTTCCTATGATTTTATGAATAAATAATAATCTTACAAAAACAAAAACAAATTTTGTTTCCTTCTTTTATCGCCTACCAAAACATCACCAGCTACAACCAACTGATCTCCACTGCACCCTCACCAAACGCCACCACATTACCAACCTTCAAGGGCAAAATAGAACTGAAAGGTAACGACGCAATCCACTGGAGCCCAGACACGGCCAGAGAGATCATCAACTGCTGGATGAGGAATTTAAACTAGGATTAGGGAAAAGGATTGAGAAGCCGTCTTTAGGACAGACAGTTGTCAATTTGAGCGACAGACTTCTCAACCCCCTAGAAATGAACATTCTTGATAAAGGCCTTAAATTCATCCCAACCCCCACAATAACATCCATAGACCCCATCACCCAGGCAACCGATCGCTTCCAAAGAACACTTTCGTTGACTTATTTTTTTAGGAACAAACCCGGCAGAGGTAAAAAATTATTCACAGTAAAATCCACATGGAAACCACCTAAAAAGTCATTATCACCAGCCATCCTAAAAACTTTCGACGAAATGAATATAGAAATATCATCCATTCAACCACAGTCACAAAAACCAAATCTCAACCGAGCAACTAAAACGGCATTAAACACCCTTAAAAAGGACAAAAACATAATAATTAAGAAAAGCGACAAAGGCTCGTGTTGTGTCATAATGAATCGTGCAGACTATATCTCAGAGGCAGAAAAACAATTAAGTAATCCTATACATTACACTAAATTAGACCAACCAATCTTTAAGGACACCGCAAATTTAATAAACAACATCTTATATGAATTGCAGGATAAGGAATACATAACAGCAAAACAATATGATTATCTATCTGCTAAATCTGACTGCCGACAAAGACATCTCTATACACTACCAAAAATACATAAAAATCCAGAAACAGAATGGTTTATACCTAATAAAATACCCAAGGGACGCCAATAATATCAGACTGTGGCAGCGAATCATACAACGTATCACAATATATAGACCATTTCTTATTACCCCTAGCATGCCAACACCCATCCTACCTTAAAGACACTAACGATTTCATTCAGAAAATCAAACAGTTAAGAGTCCCCGAACACACCGTTTTAATATCCATCGACGTACAAAGCATGTACACGAACATTGATAATAACATAGGTATTGAAGCAGTTAGGAAAGCATTTCTTAGGAACCCGCAAGCATCCAGGCCGGACGAAGAAATCCTCAAACTACTCAACATTTGTCTGAGGAGGAATGACTTCGCTTTTAACGACCAAGTATACCTTCAGTCTTCCGGAACTGCGATGGGAAAACGATTTGCCCCGAGTTATGCAAATCTCTTCATGGCGGAGTGGGAAAGGGAAGTTCTGCCACTCTGTCCATTAAAACCAGATTTCTATGGGCGGTTTTTAGATGACGTTTTCATAGTCTGGACCTACACACTAGACGAATTTTGGACGTTTTTCAACATCCTGAACAATCATCATCCATCTATCAAATTAACCGCAAATGTAAGCCATAACAGCATAGATTTCCTTGATACTACCGTTTTTAAAAGTAACAACACCAAAATCACAGGCCAATTGGAAACTAAAGTATTTTTCAAAGAAACCGACACACATCAATTATTGTTCAAAAGCTCCTTTCACCCAAAACATACATTCTCTGGCATCATAAAATCTCAGATTCTCCGTTTTCATAGGATATGTACTCAGAAGACCGACTTTGAGTCAGCATGTACATTGGTATTTAGCAAACTACGGGAAAGGGGATACTCCAAACGCTATCTACGACGTATAAAAAACAACACTCTAGCTGAGCTTGCCGCCAAAGAAACAAATAATATACAATCAGCACATAAAACCAAAATTTGTGGCCATCCAAGATGTCAAACATGCAAAATCTTAAACATATCCGACCATTTCCATAACAAAACATCTGGCACAAAATTCCCAATATTAGACCAACTTTCATGCAGTAGTTCAAACATAATTTATCTTATCTCATGCAGAAAATGTGACAAGCAATACGTAGGGGAGACTCAAAATGCACTTAGGGAAAGAATTAACGGTCACCGGTCTGACATAGTCACCAAAAAAGACAAACCTGTCTCAATTCATTTCAACCAACCAAATCATGACATTTCAGATCTCATTGTCACGCCAATAGAAAAGACCAAGAGCGACTTTGAAACTTCAGAAGAAATTAAAACGTTTAGGCTAACAAGAGAAAAATTCTGGATTGACAAATTGAAAACAACAGCCCCCCTAGGTTTGAATATTCATACGGCTAGCGCAATAGCTCCTTTTGTAGTTCCATTTAGCGCAACAGCAGCAAGTGCGTCCAAAATCATCAGAAAACACTATACTGATCTCCAAGAAAATCACCCGAAAATATTCACACAGAAACTTATAATTGCATATTCTAAAAATAAAAATCTGAACGACATCCTAGTGCACAGTAAATTAGATTAAATAAGACCAGTCTCCACCCTGACCCAAAACAAACCATATATCAAATCCTATGCCTAACCGTTAGTAATTAAAATCAATTAGATATAAGAATCCCTAGCCGTAACCCGGTGATGTGGAACAAACACGATTTTTTTATAAAATCCAATCCGTTGTAGGAAACACACTAATGTGGCTCTCTCCCGAGAGCCTCAAATTTATTTTCTTTTCTCTTCAGAAACAACAATACCAGAATACCAGAAGCACCACCCAAGGAAGACCATCAGCGCCACCAACACCAATAAACAGTGAAATCGCCTTTGTATATAAATCTAATGTATTGTATGTATTTTAATAAAACTAGGAAATATCACGAACTAATTTTTCATCATCCTAGGTCAGTGCTTATGTGGAGACTTAACCTCTCCCCCCAAATTCTTAAACCTAACCCACAATCTTGTCAAAAAGCATGTAGCCTAGGCCTAAGCCAAGACCTAGTTCTGACCCTAGCCCAAACCCACAATTGTGTCAAAAAATCATGTGCCCTAACCCTATTTACATGTTGTGACCTTGAACCAAGTCTGCAGTTGGCCTTAACATTTAGACCTAACATGTTTTTGACATCATACAATGAAATGTTAACATGTACACTCCAAAATTCACACCTGTGTGACTTTTGACCAAACATGCAGTTGGCCTTAATATTTAGACCGAACCTCAAAACATAGCATTTACCTTTGAGATTGGCTTAGACTTATGTGACACTCAAGGTTTACTTTTTTACTGATTGTTAACTGGTTTCTTTTTGGAGGGACAGTGACGGGCTGTTCGCAAGAAATAAAGAGGTTTATTTCTATTTCCAGTTGAAACCATATTTTTTTCTTATTTTCTCACTGTTTTTTATTGCATATTTATCCCCAGCCTCCTATCATTTCAGGTGCCAGGGCAATGTTTCATAGAGTGGAATGATTGACCTCAACACAAGTATTAAAAAAAAAAGAAGCAAAACAGGTGAGATAAATGTGCATTTCATACACTTTAAGAAGTACATCCAACCTCATCCCCACTTCTGCTGACGAATAGTAATGGGCTGGAAATTTGGTACTGCACAGGCCTGTCTTCTCCCCTTGACATTTAACTGAATGACAGAATTCCACATTTTGACCATTTTCTAGATGTCAATGACCATTTCCCTGGATAGTATTCGCCCCAGAATTGTCATTCTCATCCGAATTTAACATTTCAGGTCTACATCTCAAAACCTGATCTCTTCCTGGACTGGCTTTAGGAGAACGATGATGCATATCAATTTCATCCCTGATCTCTATGACACATGTGGTGGAAGTGGAGGGCAAATCGTAATCAGTTTGGGTTCCAGCCCCGAAGACCTCTGTAAACTTTGCTTTTTGGTGATGACTTAATTTCCGAGCTTGAAAAGGACGCTTGTGTGTTTATCATGGCCTCTCATATTGGAAGATAACATTAATGGCTTGTGTGTTGATCGACGGTTGTGCATATCTCTTGGTCAGGAAAGTTGTAGGCACCATCGCCATTGTAAATCATTTGACAGGCCCGAGTGAACGGGGCGACCTATGATTGGTCAGCAATGTATCAGATTCCATACCGGGGGGGGGGGATGAAAAAACTGTTGTAGTGTTACATAATCAGATTATTTCAACTTACTTATCCTGTGGAAATACAGCTATATAGGAGATATTTTGAAATTCATAGGCACTGCATGTTTCAACATTTTAGATTTGACCACAATCTGGCACTTGAAACTATGTTAACAGAGAAAAACTGTGTGGTTTTCGATGAAAGTGTTAAAAGTCTAATATTGCATCATGATTACTGTTTTAAAGTATTTTCGTGTTTGATTTATATTGAATTCATCTCATCTTTTTGAAGAATGCATTTATGTTCAAAAATAAAAATGTTCTGTGGAATTCAAAATTCATGTGCTTTTAAATTATCAGATTCCAAACTGGGGGGTAGGGATGAAAAAGCTGTTGTAGTGTTACATAATCAGATTATTTCAACTTACTTATCCTATGGAAATACAGCTATATAGGAGATATTTTAAAATTGATAGGCACTGCATGTTTCAACATTTTAGATTTGACCACAATTTGGCACTTGAAACTACGTTAACAGAGAAAAACTGTGTGGTTTGCGATGAAAGTGTTAAAAAGTCTAATATTGCATCATGATTACTGTTTTAAAGTATTTTCGTGTTTGATTTATATTGAATTGTATTTAGAAAACGGAGGAAACCGAATGACCCAGCGAAAAAACTCAAGAGATTGGACAGGCGACTCTACTCCTTGAAATTGAAACCATGCCACTTAACACAATGACAGACCCTGTGATTTCATGCGCATGCATTACCTACTAGACCATTTCCCCCAGCCCCACCCCATATCGAATAAAAGTATGACTTATTTCAAATATGATATTTACATATAAAGAAAGTAGAGAGACTTCAATCTTACTAGAAAAATACTAGATTACCTGAAATGAAATGGGGTTTAAAGACAACGTCCTACTGGTCAGCTCCGACTGGTCTAATGCATTGTGCTAAGTGAAAATGTTTGTCTGGGCAGCGACACTATGGCCGACTCTCATACCGAATTCAAACTGCCAAGAGAACTTTTATGTGTACGCCAATGTGTACATTGGATCTCAGGGGAAACCACTCTGCAAAATCAAGATGAGCTTTCTCGGTCAACCCCAAGAGATAACCTGTGGCCTCCATGCTAGTGTGCCAGCACCTAATTTACTCAGTCACCATGGCCGTCTTCTAATTACTGCTACAGTGAAACCATGTGACAAACAAGGATTATTAAGATAGACTTTTACGGCTTGGTAGTTCCTTGGGATTAAAACTTTTGATACATATAGATACATTAGTTTCAATTTCATATCACACAGTTTGTATATATGGTAAGGTAGCTTTAATCGTAAATTAAATATCATGTATTTATTTTTTCAGTTTCAATATTGGATGTATATGCAAATAACCCAGAAAAAGATCATGTAATAACAAAAGAAATTATAAAAGAAAAAAAGGAAGAAGAAATGGCTGGAAAAATTGATGATAGAGCAGCTTTTTCTTGGTGGGTAACTATTCAATTCTACTAGAAAAGATTGTTATGCTATTTTGAAATCTAAAATTCAGTTTAGTATAGTAAAACTGTACACGTCATGTATGAGCAGAGACAGAATCTTAGTTAATGTAGATATCACTGTCTCATCTGTGGCAAAGCAAACCAACACATGAAACAAAACAAATGTAATTAAAGTAACATTTTTTTAATTAATCAAAACTGTCTAGTCAATTTAAGCCAACTAATACATTGCCATTTTTTCTTCAGTTACCCACCTCGGAGGATCAAGTTGGAAAGGGCTATTGATATTGTGGAGACGTTTTCTCACAGATCTTGCTTATCAGACAAAGACTATGTAAGTACCATGCATATTTGCTTTTTAAATCAGGAACTGGTTCTATACACTTGGTGGGGGGGGGGGGTTGGATGGACGTTAAACCCCATTTCTCTCTCTCTCTCCTAAATATTGAGATTTTTGTTTACTTTTAAACTGCATATATTCAAGGTATCAGGAGCTTTTTATGGCTCCCGTACAATTTTATAAACATGAAAGACTGTACCTTTTGAATATTAAGCCATCAAATTATTTTATAATTTTGAAAATGAAATGAAATGGGGTTTAACATCCTACTGTTTTGCTCATAAATTGGGCTAATGAAGACGGGCATACGCCATACAGTGTGCTATGAAGGGAATTTTGCCCGGGCAGCGGCGCTACAGCCAACTCTTATATCGAATTCCAATTGCCAAGGAATCTTTTATGTGAACGCCAATGTGTACACGGGACCTCGGTTTTTTGTCCCATCCGAACGACTAGACAGCTGTCCTTGTCAGGTCCTCCGTCCTGTATCACTGGCAAGGGGAAAACACGCAAAATGTAAGTAACATATATATTTGTATTTTTAATCAGGAAGTACTTCTATACACTTGCTTGGTAATCTAGTTATTCTTCTTGGGGCAATGCCTAGGACTCTGCTGTTTCAAGTACTTGGCATGCTTGATTTTTGCCAATCACATCCATTGATTTCCTTCAAGTTGCGATAGGCCCTACATGTATGTGTATTTTTACAGTAAATAGCAGTAAAATAATGATGGACAGTATTTTACTTTCAAATAGATTTCAGTAGATTTTAAAGGGTAATATCCAATTTGTTGTCAATGGAAATAAAATAAGAATGGGTCCAAAAATAATTAGACATTACGCAAAGTTGAAACCAAATAGAGACTCGGTCTCGATGTGGCAAAATAAATTGTTTATTTAAACGTTGTGAACCATGGAACGTATTCTTATCTCCTACTTTTTATTTTTTAGGCTGGAACACCATTGAAAGAGTATTTGCTGTATGATAACAACAAGAAAACCCAAGCATCAATTTATTTTATACTTCTGGGAAAGAATGCATTTGACCCAATTTTTAAATATTTATTTTTTGTTATTAATGTTAAATTTTCTTCCAAAACACAATTAGATTTTAATTCTCTTCAGAAATGTATGTATAATATAGCAAGTAAAGTGGCATATAAATCACTTAGAATTTGGTCAGAAATCATAAAGTATTTAATAGGCATTACTAGAAACCAAATGTAGATCAAATACACCCAGAATTACAAAAAACCTTGACCTACATAAAGGTGACTTTCCCTTGCTTATGAAATGAAATACGGTTTAGTATCCTACTTTTCTGTGTTCTTAGAGTGATTCTGCCCTACACCCTACTCTTATATCAAATATTTCAACTGTCAAGGGTTCTTTAACGGGAACCCGGGGGGGGGGGGCAATGATTAACACGCACACATTTGATCAGGAAGTCTGTCATTGAGTCAAATAATTCAATTGTCAAGGCTTCTTCTAAGTGAACGCAGTGGGGATGGTTTCGATTCCGGGAATGGGGGAGGGGGTGGTGGATGGCCGAATGGTAAGCATGTGCGTGCGGTATCATACAGCCTGTCATTGAGTCAACTGGCGTGGTTTCGAATCCCCGGTTGTACGTGACAAGGAGTAGGGTCGCCTGTCCAATCTTGTGGGTTTTCTACGGGACCTACGGTTTCCTCCCACTGCTAAAGACCCCTATGCGCAACGAATTATTGAAATAAAATTAAACCATATGTTAATCCCGAAATGACCTAGTTTGTGTCAAGTGGACGTTTAACCCCATTTCTCTCTCTCTCTCTCTTTCGATTCCGGGCTTGTACCCAATTATCCCTTGCCATATCCAAGACCACTGACAAGTGGGAACTATGCCGGAAAATCCAGTTGAAATTTCTCGGCCAACACCTTATACTCACTGAACCACTGTGGCTTATGACTTGTGATTGTATATAAATTTTTTGTACATATGATATTTTTTTATTTCAATCCTGTAATCTTGATGCTTTGCTTCTTTTATTTACAAAATATTCATTTTGTTTGGGTTTTTTTAATGAGGAAAAGGTTTTACATCATTTTATTACTCCTGCAAAATAGTGCATTTTTCTTTTGTTAGTTTTCTGTGTATATTAGTTATTTCTATATGTCTCACAAATCACTTGTAGTGTGATTTTGTAGCACTTTTCAGTTTTTGAAATTGTTTCAATTTAGTGCATAATTAATCTTAGTGCTTGGTTTGGATGTTATTATATTTAGATATTATTTGAATTATATATTTTGGAGTATGGGGTAGGGATACTGTGTACATATCTTTATATTCTCAGTTCTTGTTTTGGGGTAAAGAACAATTTATATAGCTATTTTATATTTTGTGATAGGTAAAGTGTGTGGGGTTAAGAACAATTTAAATAGCTATGTTATATTTTGTGATGGGTAAAGTGGGGTGTGTGTGGGTGTGTGTGTGTGGAGGGGGGGGGGTCATTATATATAACACAATATAATTAGTATTAGAATTCTCTGTTTTTCTGTTAACATTTCAAATATCTATTTAGTTTTGATGTATTAATTTACTTTTTCCTATGATTTTATGAATAAATAATAATCTTACAAAAACAAAAACAAATTTTGTTTCCTTCTTTTATCAAACTTTACAGGTCTAACAGGGCAAAGAGATGGGTCCTGCATAAAAAGGTTGCTATACGGTATATAAATTGGGGAAAAACACAACACAAGTTTTTGTGGATGGTTATACACAAGTTTGTATGAAACCACACAAGTTTCAGAAATTTCAACACAAGTTTCAGAAATTTCAACACAAGTTTCAGAAATTTTAACACAAGTTTCAGAAATTTCAACACAAGTTTCAAAAATTTCAACACAAGTTTCAAAAATTTCAACACAAGTATTGTGTAGATTTTCACACAAGTTTCAACACAAGTTTGTGTTGTTTGATAAATTTTAACACAAGTTTTGTGTTGTTTCAACATATAACACAAGTTTTGTGTTGTTTCAACACAAGTTTGTGTTGTTAAATAGAGACACCTTACTTGTGTTGAAAACAACACAAGTTTGTGTTGTTTCAACACAAGTTTTTTTTCAGTGTACATGAACAGTCCAAACTGAACGACAGTCGTTTTGTAATACAATATCATTTGAGATCTAAATTTTAATATTGTATTCTGAATTCATATTTTATTTGTAACTCATTTTGGACATATATTAAGTGACAGATTAATTGTAATTCTAATCAAAAAGAGTTATGTATTGTATCACAGTTTTCGCTTTCTTGAGTCTACATGTTATTATTTTATCGTTTGTGAATCAGTCATTACTAATGACTTTAGCATTGTCTTGTCGGATATGTATTTCTTTGTTCATTACAAATGGCGCCCGAAGCATAGAATACACGACTCGTGTATCCTTTATCAAATGTTCATTATGTCTAAAATATCGGATATTAGGACTCCGTTTTTTCATGCAAGATAAGAGCATCAATTTTGATTGAAATACTGAATTTGTGTTTTTAATTTCGGATATAATGCCAAAACCTTAGAGTCAAGGGGTAATTCTGATACGTTATTGTTGTCTGATTATATTATTGTTCACCTTATATTGTAAATGGGCTAGTCCTATAAAGTTCATCAGGATGTTCCGGCATGGTGCAGGACGGGGGGCCTGATAAGGGTAGCTGTCGATTAGTTCGGATGGGACGGAAAACCGAGGTCCCGTGCATAACATTAGCATAATGATTCCTTGGCAGTTGGAAATCGATAAAATAGTAGGCCATAGTGCCGCTGCCCGGGCAAAATTTCCCTCGTAGCAAATTGTATGGCGTATTCCCGTCTTCAATTGGATTCTTTCCAAATGTGAAGCACTGTGGACATGAGACGACGAACCCTCTTTTTATTCAGCGTTCTATGAACTTCCGAACAATAAATGTGATGGCAATAGACTAGGCTACAGTTTTGAACAGATTTATGCAAGCTTGTGAACACGATAGAGATCAGATTCCTTTAAGGCTTAATGGGTCCTTATCAAAATCGAAGTTTTCATATTGAATAAGCTGCTGTCGTGACATATTTCCGTATTTCCATACTTTGTGTGGTTATCTATCTTTGTATATACCAAGGGTCATAGTCTGTTGTACACATGGAGAGAACAGATTGTGTAATCTACTAAAATTTAAAGTTGAAGGGTCCAGTGAACTATCCTTTATTTCCAGGTTTAAAGTTATGGAAAAAACGAAACAAAATAGGAGAATAAACCAGCAAACCAGGAAAGTATATGGGGACAAATGTGACTATCAAATCAGGAACTCCCAGAAAACGGTCCGTGATACTAGGATGGCACTTATCTAATCAGGACTTTCACACTGTGTAAAAAACTATTTTCACTGATCAATTGGCACCGAAACACTTTGTTGGTTAACTATGTTTTTATATCTCTGTAACACCCAAAATACAATGGTTATATACAGGAAACTACACACACAGCTATGATATCAAATATATGCTAAAGAGAAGTTTTCTACCCCTAGCCTGTGTTTTGCGCTGATGTTTCTCAGCCTCTCAGTCGAGGAGGCTGTGCGAGCGTCCTTCTGAAACTACGAAATAATGCCTAAAGAAACTTAAATCCCGCACGTTCATTATAAAGAGGATAGGTGCCAAAGTCATGTACTGACCCCCGGCAAAGAGGCCCGGTACACCGTTATCTGATTGGTCAGCTGCACAGAAGCTACCCTAAATTTCAACAGTGTGTACTTATATGGGCACCGAGGAGGGCAGGTGTCCACGTGTCTAAACCATTGATTAACAGACTATGATGTCATTGCCGGACATATCCTTGTTAGCCTAGTTCTCCTTGTCACTGGTACTAGTTAACTACTTCAATACATTAACCTGAGTATCTCCCAGAGAACTTAAATAACCTCTACAGTATATAGGCCCTATAGTATTACAAACAAGAGCATCACTAACGCTGCAATATACGTCCACATTCCAGCTTTGATTGATATGGTACTTTTTAAAATGAAGAGAATGAAATATGAAATGGCTGTAATATGATCAGAGGCAAAGAAGGCTAGGCGTCGGGTTTGTTTTGCCAAATTTACAGACAAAATACTAACAATAAAGTGGGTGTGACACTGCCCCAGGAGGTCGGGGCAAGTATCAAAATAAATAGTTGCTGTCTTTATGGTATAAGGAATAAATATGCACATTTCAAGATGATCCATTCAGAATTGCAGCCTGTAGACGATAAATACAAAAACTGGGCGTGGCTCTGCCCATGGGGGTTGGATATGGAAACAATATAAATAGAAACCATCCTGTTATTGAAATGGCAACATCAATAGTTGCCTTCCTAAGGGTCTAAGGAATAAATACACCAAGTTCCAAGATAATCCATTCAGAATTGTGGCCTTTGTACGTTAAAGGCAAAAATAGGGCGTTGCTCTGCCCCTGGGCGTCGGGGCATTCACCATGCCCTTAGGCTCTAAGGAATACATATGCCAAATACCAAGTTGATCCATTCAGAATTCCGGCTTGTAAACGATTAACATAAAAATTGGGCGTGGCTCTACCCCTGGGTGTCGTGACATGCAGTTGTCGTCCTTAGGCTATAAGGAAAACATATCCCAAGTTCAAAGACAATCCATTAAGAATCGTGGCCTGTAGGCAACTCACAGAGACACAAAGAAAAAATGGGTGTGGCTCTGCCCCTGGGGGTTGGGCAATCACCCAAAAAATAGCGGTCATCCTTAGGGTATAACGTATAAGTATAAACAAGTTTTCAAGATGATCGATTAAGCATAGCAGGCTGTAAGTGACATACAGACACACAAAAAGAAAATGGGTGTGGCTCTGTCCTTGGGGGCTGAGCATTCACCACAAACAATAGGGATGTTCCTTAGGATAGAAGGAGCAAGTATGCAAAGTTTCAAGGTGATACATTAAGAAATGCGGTCTGTAGATGACAAACAATGAATATAAGAAATGGGCGTGGCTCTGCCACTGGGGGTCGGGCATGCACCAAACACAATAGGGATCATCTTTAATTAGGGTATAAGGAATTCATATGAAATTTTTTCAAGACGGTCGATTAAAAATTGTGGCCTGTAGGCGACACACAGACACACATAAAGAAAATGGGCGTGGCCTGGCCTCTGGGGGTTGGGCATGCACCCCAAACGATATAGGGATGTTCCTTAGGGTACAGAGAATAAGTATGCAAAGTTTCGAGATGATGCGTTAAGAAATGCGGCCTATAGACGACAAACAAACAAATACAAGGAATGGACGTGGCTCTGCCCCTGGGGATCGGGCATGCACTAAAAACAATAGGGATCATCCTTAGGGTATAAGGAATAAGTATGTAAAGATTCAAGATGATAACTTAAGGGTACAGAGAATAAGTATGCAAAGTTTCGAGATGATGCATTAAGAAATGCGGCCTATAGACGACAAACAAACAAATACAAGGCATGGGCGTGGCTCTGCCCCTGGGGATCGGGCATGCACTAAAAACAATAGGGATCATCCTTAGGGTATAAGGAATAAGTATGTAAAGATTCAAGATGATAACTTAAGAATTGTGGCCTGAAGGCGACACACAGACACACAAAAAGAAAATGGGCGTGGCTCTGCCCCTGGGGGTTGGGCATGCACCCCAAACGATAGGGATGTTCCTTAGGGTACAAAGAATGTGTATGCAAAGTTTCAAGATTATTAGTTAAGAAATGTGGCCTGTAGACGACAAACAAACAAATACTAGAAATGGGCGTGGCTCTGCCCCGGGGGGTCGGGCATGCACCAAAAACAATAGGGATCTTCCTTGGGGTATAAGGAATAAGTATACCAAGTTTGAAGAAAATCCATGAAGAATTGCGCCCTGTAGGCGAACCACAGACACACACACACACACACACACACACACACACACACACATACATACATACACACACACACACACACAGACAGGGGCGACGGCATAATACGTTCACATTATGAATGTGGACGTATAAAAATGGTTCAAGATCATCATTTAGCAACAACTTAGAACTTGCAAACGTGTCTTTTACGTATAACTCTTCATCAGACTCACAAATTGTGGAGTTTTCTCCAAGATATTAAATGTTTTATTAATATATATATGAGGGTGAAATGACAGGAATTGAAACTCACATACATTATCGCATTTGAAATAACAAATACACAGAATTTACAAATAAAAAATCATGATTAGTTGATGTTGATAACAATATCTAAATATGTATATAAAATTAGATGTAATTAATATAGTTATCATACGTTTTAATTAGGTATAATATTTATATGAAATTAGGTGTAATTAATATAATTAGTATTCGTTTTAATTAGGTGTAATTGATGTAATTATCATACGTTTTGATTAGGTAAATATACAAATATATCACGTGTTACAAATTAAACAGTTCTATTTAATCATTCATATATACATATATCCCAGGGCTACCATTTGCACCATTGTTGTCACATTTGATTATACAAAATATATTTTTTAAAAAAAAATAATAATCTGATATCAGCCATAACATATAGCAGAATATTTTCTTAATATTGATTTCGAGACAAAGCAACATTTTCTGCATATAGTTATAAATACATGGTATATCTATAAATGATGGATTTCTGTAGATTGCTAAGATAAATATACCGCTATACGACAATTACAGGAGCACAATTACAGGAAGTTTGAAAATAAATAAGCGTTTTTGATTTGTATCCGCTAAGCTCGAGTCCAAAGATTATTTGACCTACATGTTTGTTTTGATCTTCTATATTGCTATCTAAGAAAAACAGTCCAAGTGCTCATTTTCATTTAATTTGAATAATGGACATTTAATTTGATCATCTGTCATGTTGCCTCATTTAACAACCTTCTTTAAATTTAATTATCTCCAATATCGTCATCATGTACTAGGATCCGTTGTAGACATATAAAGTACTTATATCAGGAGTTAGTGTTTTGCTTTATTGACTTTGTTAGAACCTAAAGTAGTGTATGTATGTTGTGTGTTATCTAGTGTGGGATCTAATGTATCATACGTATTTCTTGTATTGTCTTCTGTATTAAACGACTGGTTTACGTAGTCTACATTACGTGTATTAGTTGGAACATTTTGATATCCAGTGGTTAATGTATCATCTGTTGTAGAAGTAGTCGGATTTAAATCTGTATTACAGTAAACATAATCGGGATCATTTTCTGCTTTCGGTTGACTTGATTGACATCTGAAATATATGTTAATGACACATTAGAGTGTAATAAAATGAAACCGGAAATAAACACCTATGGTTATCATTGTTCTTCTTGTACAATAATAAATCATAATGATGTTTGAATAATAATATGTTATTAATATTAGGAAGGACTAATTTGGAAATATGGACATGATTTTTCATATTGTACAATAATACATAAAAATGGCATTAAATAAATAAAGTTACATTAATTATATATTATTAAGATCAAGTAACATTGTTAAAGAATATATAATGTACTATTAACTGTCGTTTACAGTTAATTAAAAATATGATAGCACAATAATATATGTGATAATTAGCAGAAATTACCTTTTCTTGTAGAAATGATACGATACACCAACAGCTACCGTGCCTACTATACCACACAGAACACCAATAATTCCAATTACAATAGGACTTATACTGGTACATTCCACTATCTTTTCTGTTGACATATAAAGTCATATTAGTGATTATCAATTAATATGGTTTGGACATAATTTGATCTCGAGCTAATGACGGTTTTCACAGAGATCAACAGATGGACAAGACCAGTTTGGTAAACGGCATCGACCCGGTAGATAAGACCAATTAAGAGTAGAAAAGAAGAAACATTATGATACCAGTCGGTGATGCAAAGTAGGACTATAAAATCCATTTCATTTTCATGTCTCATGAGGCTGCAATCCGTGCTTAACATCACCAATGTAAATACCCGGATTGAAGTCACGTGTTTATATATGTCTGTTTATGTAGAATAGTAAATTTCTCATGAGCCTGCAATTCGCGCTTAACATCACCAATGTAAATAACCGGATTGAGGAGAATTGTAAAATTCAATATGAATTTCCTTCATAATACACAGTAATTAATAAGACATAACTCCCTCTTCTCCGTACCTTCCACATAAAACATTATAGTATTAATTCCAGTACCAAACAATAGTGCCACTGAATATTCAACAACTAAAATACATGTATTCATTTGGATATGGCTTATCCAGTGATATATTCGCTCAGTTGGGAATCAGAGGATATCCTGTATTATGGAGAAACATCATAAAGTGCAATCAAACACAGTGAATAGTGTAATTTAAATACACTGTATTATATGATTGAACTATATGACGTTATTCGATCAAAGGGGTTTTTTTTAATATCATTAAAGAAAAAGAAAATTAAATTTAAAATGACTATTACGAAATTGGAAAATAACAACATTAAACGTTACATGAAACCATGTTCACTAATTTTATCGTGTAATTAATTTGGAGACTGTACTTATAATTGACATACAAATAAAGTCGGTTTATAAAGTGAAACTGCAATGTGTTGTCAACATTTACCTGTTGAACAGGTTTTATCAGGTAAACTTCCATCCATACAATCTCCTGACTTCTGATCACATGTATCAACAGTTGTACCAACTATTGGTTTACAGTTAGTATTACATAGTTTATTACATGATGATCCCCATCTTCCATCTTTACATTCAGTACAAGAGTTTGCATTATCCTGATTACAAACAGTACAATTATTATTACAGTTGGTATCACACCGGTCTCCAGTTTTACCTTTAATACAAGATGTACATTTACCATCATTTCTATCACATTCACCAGCACATCCTGTACTACAGTTCATATTACAATCATTGCCATATCTTCCTACAATACAATTAATACATCTACCAGTATCCCTATCACATCCACCATCACATCCTGTACTACAGTTCATATCACAATCATTACCATATCTTCCTACAATACAGTTAGTGCATGCACCAGAACTCCTATCACATCCACCAGCACACCGTGTACTACAACTCACATTACATCCATTACCATATCTCCCCATAATACAGTTAGTACATCTACCATTTCTATCACATGTGGTGAGGTCCGTTGTTGGTTGACATCTTGTACCACATGTAATGTTACAGTATGGACCAGCTATATCAGGTTTACAGTCATTACATCTACCATCCATCTTAACACACCCTCCGACACAATTATCATGACACTGAGATTCACAGTTTGTACCATACCAGCCTTGGTTACATTCATTACATGATGACCCGTCTTGTTGGCAGGATCTACAGTTAGCAGGACATGATGATTGACAGTAGGGGCCTGTATTACCATCAACACAACCATCTGCACATTGTGGTTGTGAAGATGAAGAAGGAATATAACATCTACTGTTTATACAGTTAATACTACACGGTGATGTACATTTATCACCATAATATGTACCTTTACATCCACATTTCCCATCCAGTATGTTACACATTTTGCTTACACAACCATCACTACACTCAGATTCACATTTTGTACCATACCAGCCTTGATTACATTCAGTACATGATGACCCGAATTGTTGGCATGATTTACAGTTAGCAGGACATGGTGTATCACAGTAAGAACCTGCATTACCATCAACACAGCCAGTTGTACATTGTGGTTGTGAAGATGGAGGAGTGATAGAACATCTTTTGTTTGTACATTTATCACTACACGCTGAATTACATTTATCACCTAAATAACCGTCTTTACATCCATCAGTACAAACACCAGTAGTAGGATCACATTCATTATTTAGGCACGTATTACAAGGTTGACATGTAGAACTTGATGTACTGTAGTATCCATCATTACATTGTGCTGTAATTAGATGATTTGTGTGATTATAATATGTATTAACAAGGTTTACATCTAATATTCAAAACACAATGAATATTTTATAATCAGTACGCGAGTCGTGTATTCTATGGTGTATTGTTATAAACAAAGACAACATATGCGGAAGTAATTAATTAGTAATGACTGATACACAAACAACAAAACAATAATAATAAAACGTGTAGAATGGACTATGGTGGCGCAAACGACTATCGCGTAGGTCACCAAATATCACCAAATATAACTGATTAGAAATTACAATAAAGGTTTTAAAACTTGAAAGATATATTACATTAATATGTGCTTACAGCCCAATTCCAATTTTAGTCTATTTTAAGTTTCCAAAGAATAGAGCCATGCGCCTTTAAAAGCAACAAAATTCGTTCACTTTATGTTATAAGTATGAAATTGGGTGTGAAGATACCATGAAATTTGGTGTGTTGAAAAAAGACACCCGTGTAGAATGGACGAAGCAGACGCCAACGACTGTCGTTAAATTAGGTCTTGCTTTTGGAGTAATTTTAAACTTTTTATGTGTTTAACAGGAGCGTTATTTCAATTTCAATGGCACACTTCCTTGAATCGAGACATTTGACTTTGGTACTAATATTACAGTGATGTTAACCAGCATTTTAGATATAACACCAATAAAATACTACCATAACATAAACTTTTAAGTATCTTAACACTGGATTTAAAATAAACCAGCCTGTAGACATGAGTATGGCAGTAGAGTATCTTTACTTACATTGACAAAAACTAATGAACGAAAGTGTTCTATATACAGTAGCCTGGACGATTAACACATTGGTCGTGACGTCGACAGAAGATTAATGCGAAGATGGCGGCGTGAAATCAATAGAAAGAATTATGAACTTTGGATGGGAATAATAATGTTTTTGTTTATGAATAACTGTTTTTTTTAGGTAAGGTCTTTATTTGCCGTTTATTCTGTAATCTTGGATCCATACAAGGCAAAAACATGTAACTAACATGATAGTCTGTTAGTAGGACGTGATTTACAAATTCACGTGTTCACAAATCTCTAAATGTTATCAGTTAAGGACCCTAAGAAGTAAAATACCCCAACAGTGAGCATAGGTTGAGATTTAATGTTTTGATGTCGAGATGTTGTCACAACTCACTTCATCAACACTTGTGCGTATTAAAATCTGTGCATCGATGTTCCACAAAATTCAGTTCTTTTACATTCTTTTGTATGGTTAACTCATTTTTTTATAACGGCTTTTTATCAATGACACGGTGTTATAAGATGGTGATGTTATATGTTGTATTTTATACCAGTAAATATAGTAGATGATGTTATATGTTCTTCCAAAAAAGTAGGGGATGTTGAAATGCAAATACCGATGCAGTTTGTGATATGATAAATAGTCATGGGCACGTGACATGCTTTGAGAGTATGTTCACAGATGAAGAACTTATCGCCCCAACAGAACCACTGAGCTGCACATGCGACACGCAATAGCGCCATACACGTGGGAGGGGTTCATTGTCAAATTTAACACTTCAAGGAGGGGTTGATGAAAACTGCCACGTGCTGGTTTAACTATCCATGTTAGCATTCCTATCGGTTCTTCCATAAGATTTACAGTTTAGCGCACCTTTGCTTTAGTGTGTTACGTTTAATTTGATCGGGAGACGTGTTCGTCGACAGCAAGAGGGGTGGGTCAGATTGCCCAAAATCGTGATTGGACGGTTGATTAGGAGCATGCCACGACGAATTGCTGAATGTCTGGGGATTGGTGGAGCAATTACTCATTATTAAGACAAAAATCAAAAACGTCCATTTTCACTTTTGACGGTGTATCTCTTTGCGAGTGAAATGGGGCCGCCAGATAAGCCGCCCATATGAACTGTTTATGTTCATGTGTAGGCAATTGGCCTGTTATTAACATACACTGGTTACCTCTAATAAAAACAGCAGTGCATTTCCGCAGTTTTGTATTGTTTCTGAATATCCCCTACCTTTTTTAAGAGTATATGTTGTATTGTACCAGTAAATATTGTAGATGATATTATATGTTGTATTTAACCAGTAAATATTGTTGATGATGTTCTCAAAGCCATTAAAAACGAAATTCCAAATTGAAAGTTTATTTACTGCAACAACTTCTAATAAATGTACATAACAATTGACAAAATTGAGATAACAAGCATCTGTGATAATTTCATGAAAGAATTCACTACAAATGCACAAAACCGTGAAACAAAGCAGGGATCAACTGAAGTCAATATCGGGTATGTCCACCCTGAGCTCTTACATATGCCTGAAGTCGCCTTGGCATGGACTGGCACAGATGTCTCACTACACGCTGTGGGATTGTTTGCCAATGATTTCGGAGTGCCTGTGTCAACTCTGCAACAGTTCGTGGTGGTATGGCTTGAGTTCGAACCCGTCGTCCAAGTTCATCCCAACGGTGTTCGATCGGGTTCATGTTGTCGGGAGACATGCGGACCAATCCATAACACGGACATGATGATTGTTCAGAAAGTCTCTTGTCAACCTGCGGTGTAGGGTCGGGCCTTGTCATGTTGGAATAACAATCTGCCGACAGACGCCTTGTTGGGCCAGCAATGGAAGCAACGCCGGACGAAGGATGGCGTCAACATAATGTTGAGCATTTTGATTGCCTTGGACCAACACCAACTGGGACCGGAAGTTGACTTTGATAGCGGCCCAAACCATGTATCTCTACACACATCTAATGCTGTTAACAAAAGTGTAAATAAATTATGTCATTGTTTAGGTATGGTTGACAGTATTGATATCTCTAGATATAACTTACATGTATATCAAACTATTATAAAGTCAATCTTTATGAAGAAGTTCAATATGATGCTATACATATACTTACCAAACATAGTGCTGTTATACATATGATTACCTAATATAGTGTTGCTATACATATACTTACCTAATATAGTGATGCTATATATATATATACTTACCTAATATAGTGTGTAGTACAGTTGTTAGAATTATAACTCTGGACAAATGAGGGAAAATCATATTGTATCTGCACCCTAAAAAAAATATAAATATGTATAATGATCAAAAAACAAAGTAACAGCGTGCTGTGGGCCAGGTATAGGGCATGACATCACAGCCATCTTGAAAATTGTGACGTCATACATAAAGAGAAGTCCTGAAATCGATGCGTAATTGTCCAAGGAACAAACATACCAAGTTTCATGCCGATCGTAAATTCGTACATGATCTCATGGAGAAATAGGGACGCAAGTTGTGATGAATGGCACGATAATCCATTTATGACCAATTAACCCAGAGAGAGAGAGAGAGAGAGAGAGAGAGAGAGAGAGATGGGGTTTAAAGTCCACTCGACACTCGAGGAGAGAGTTTGATGTCAACTCGACATTTCGGGGGGTCATTTCGGGAGTAACATATGGTTCAATTTTATTTCAATGATTCGCTGTACAAGCGTTGAATCGAAACAACGCCACTTGACTCAATGACAGACCTTATGATCACACGCGCACGCGTTAAACCAATCGGCCACCCAACTCCGCGAAACATACACTAACATCAACGTGAATACAGTTATAATACAGATCAAGCAAATGATTTGTAAGCAATTTTTAAATGATTTTTGTCAAAAGGGTACTGTGGTTGCTACGCTGATTTGAAGAATGTCAACATAGTGGTTATTGCATCGACAAACCTCTGGGTCTCCTTCTCTCCTCAGTCATATTATACGTGTTCGGTCTCTAATATTATAAAATTATACAATCATGTTCGCACACATAACGCCATAGCTAGCTTTATATTTATAAGTTGACTGAATAGGATTTGTTAGTAATTATATTTTTGGTATACTTGTGGCTTGGAATAGCCGGATTCTATATAGGACTTGTTTCATTTCATTGACAAAAATCTTTTAACTGATATTTATTGTCGAAAATCCTTTAACTGATATTTATTGTCGAAAATCCTTTAACTGATATTTATTTTCAAATTTGGTGTGAAGCATTGAGATAATGAAAGGACAAAACTTATCGATATACGGAGTTCTGTAACCTTCCTTTATGGACTTATTGTCCTCTTTCTGAAAACTTTATGAATGCGATAGATTTTTGGGGAAGGATTTTGAGGTAATGACGAAAGATATCGATATTCAGAATTTGACAACCGTCCATCATCTTTTACCAAAAGGATACAGTCTATAATGGGTTTTACCAAAAGGATAAGTCTATAATGGGTTTTACCAAAAGGATAAGTCTATAATGGTTTTTATCAAAAGCCTGCAGTCTATAATGGTTTTTACCAAAAGGCTACGGTCTATAATGTTTTTTACCAAAAGGCTACAGTCTATAATGGTTTTTACCAAAAGGCTACAGTCTATAATGGTTTTGTTACAAATCTGATCTTTAGCATTATAAATATTCACTGCTCTGCTACCTTCCATTCCAGAATTACCGCCCTTTTCCGAAAACCATGTGAACACGATAGAGGTCCAATTTTTTGAAGGCATATAAAATTTGGTGAAAATACCATTCTTTGTGTGGCTATCTTTATTTGTGGGTGAGATCAAAATGTTAGGAATACGCCTACCATAAGCTTGAAATTTGGTAACGTAAGTTAATTAATTGGGAGATTAAGGACAGATAACTAAGTATCAAAAATTAAAAATACCAAGTGAATTGTTAATATCCTGACTTTATGTTTACATTAGATAACTAAGGTTTTTTGCGTTAGCAAACTAACGGTAAATTAACGGTTAAAATTCTGGCGTAAAACTAACGTTAGATTTACGTTTGCAAACTAAGGGTTAGAATCTTGACATAAAACTAACGTTAGATTTACGTTACAAAACGCACGCTAGCCTTGAGGTCGGGTGTTCGATCCCTGCATTGGCCGAGAAACTTCATCCAGATTTTCCGGCGTGGTTTCCCCTTGTCAGTGATGCAGGACGGA